CAAATCACTTTTGGGCCATTCCATATTACTGAAAAATAGGCTAAGAATCGTGCGGCCTAAAACTCAGTAAGACATTCAGAGCCGACTAAGCATATGGGCAAGCTCGACTTCACTTACCACACCCGTCTATGCCTGATATGTATAGTTTTATATCTGCATGTATCTGAAACAAATAACTGACTGGCTAACCCTATAATCCCATACCCGACATGGACTGGTAAGCAGACAAGAGGCTGCGGTTCGCCATACGATTAATCCGTCTTATCGGCTTTCCCCTTCGGGTTAAATATGAAAAGCCTATATATGCATTTACTATTTATACTACTTGTAATATGCAGTTCTCTTGCTACGCTTTACCCTGATTGACAATATCAGTCATATTTACCTAACCGCCTAAACCTGGCAAAGCCCATTTTCTTTACGCTGTTCTCAGCTTATACTTGTTATCTCACTAGCAACCGACATAACTCAGAAGTCTTTGTATTGATAAGGCAGGTCAACGAGCTGATACGTAATTTCCGGACTTCGTGAAACTGTTCGTTGCCTGATAATTGACATGCAAATACGTCGAGCAACGGGAAGCAATTGTAATCATCACCAGTGTGCGAATAGCTCGCGCTTGTTTTGTTAATATTATTATAGGGTGTCCATGAGGTTATAAAAATTGCAAAGGGAATTTATCGATACCATCATATATTGTTTAAGTCCTCACAGATGTATTAAATGAAGTAAAATTACTTAAACAATTACTGACTGTTTAAAAAACAACAAACCTGGTTAAGATATATTGAGAACTGACTTCATAACAAAATTGAAATCGTAAAGAGACTTTATGGACAGCATGTATTTTAACAAAACACGCAAATAACCTAACAAAACAGAGATACAGTGAGCTCTTGTTATCAGGCCTATTTAAGGTAATATCTATACGTACAACTAACAACAAAAAAACGTTAGCCAACGTTTTAATTACCTATGCCCTACCAGCGTTTGTCAAACTTTTTATTTCCACGGAACACCTTGGTGGGTGATTTCAAATACTATAAAGTTTGCTGTGGACTCCACAATAGAAAAATTAGGCCGACGGTTAACAATTGGGCACGAGGCCTATCTGCCTGTTCAGTCAGCAAGGCCTGTTCATCTATTTGTCGCCAGTTCGAAGACAAATTTACGACCCAGAGTCTCCGAAGTACGGCCGATATCGCCATGGCGACCAATTTAGTCGCCATCTCGACCCCTCTAATGCGGAACACTCCGAAGAAGCTTGCGGAACACAGAATGAGAAACGCCGCCCCATGCAAACAACTTTAACCTGGACAAAGTGTTATATTTTCACTTTATTATATTTCCATTGGTCCCGCGTGTATTTTACATTTCACAGGCTTGAAATCGGAATAACTTTTCGTGTTTTTCACTTTTAATCCCTCATCGCTGTATCTTTACGAGTGTTACGTCATGTGTCTGTATCGTGAGATCACAGTTAGTTATCAGAGCAAAAAATCTGGACAAAACTATAACTCGTGGCTCGGCTTTGTGGCGCATCGTGCTAAACATTAGGAATACGCTCGCCACCGCACCTCTGATTACCCTGCATGGGATCGAATCCCATGCAGGGATAGTTATGTGCGAGAGGTTGTCGTAGAGTGGTTCACGTAGCAGATAGTCCAGGGGTGGGCAACATACAGCCCGCGGGCCGCATCCGGCCCGCTGACTGTATCCAACCACACTCTGTAATCTGGTCCGACGCGTCATTCATGAAAGTTGCCGATCACTCTACTCTCACCGCATTGTCAGTGCGTATTGCCTTAGTGAACAAACAATTGCGTTAGCAAACCAACAAACAATAGAAGTTCAAAGCTAAGAGCGTTGTAAACATTCCCCACTACTGCTTTCAGTCATATTTATATTCTATTCTAAATATAAATAGATTTTATATTAAGTTTTATTGACCATGGAATATCCCAAGAAACGTAAAGTTGACAAGGAGTGTCGAGCATTTAACAAAGATTGGATACCGAAGTAATTTTTCTAATATTCCGGCCCGCCGAGGACTTCATTTTCACACGTCTGGCCCGTCGACTAGAAAAGTTGGCCACCCCTGAGCTCGGTTGCGGCTTCCTCTGCTACAAAGTCCACGCATCTGACAGAAATTAACTGGCCAACTAATCCCATACCCGACATGGATTGATGCCCGGACGATAGGCCATGGTTCGCCATATGATTAAGTCGTCCTAGCGGCTTTCTTCTTCCCGGATTAAATATGTAAATCGTAATCCCAAATGTGGAAAACAATGTGGTCAAAATAACATTTCTCCAAAACAAAGAAAAAAACTGTACGATGCGAATTAGTGCAGATCCATAATGCCAATGACCAGTTATCGATTAAAAATAAAACTGCCCTACATGTGAGCGCTTTATTCAAATGTCGAACAATTTCAAATTAACTTAAGCATAAAATGAATAAATATATAACAAGTGAACAAGGTAAGCCCATAATTTTATAATTGCCCAACGAAATCATAAACTGTGATGAATCCAAAAATTCAACTATACAATAATTTAAAATGAAGTATACCCTGGATTCGTTCATTGGAAATCAATCGAAGTTTTATCTACTACAATTTCAACATGAAAAGTTGGATTGATTAGGATTATACACAGGGAAATTGGGAGCAGAAAAACTACACAAGGAGTGGTTGCGCGGGTGCAAATTTGCACCCACTATTTAATTCAGTGTTTCCAAAACTGGAAGGTAATTACCCGCAAAGAGGTGATTTGGCAATTTTTAGAGGGTATTATTTACTGTTTTAACAATTCATTTTGTAAACCCTGTAGACGGTTCGCAGGGGCATATTAAAAATACGGCGCTCTGGGAGTATTCGTACCAAGATGACGCACAACCTGAATAACCCTTGCTGGTACACATATTATGTTCAGGTTGTGTGCCATCTTGGTACGAATACTTCGGGAGCACCAAAAATACCTCGCTACAGATTGAAGGCTAATAATATCAGAGCTAGCGCAAGTTTAGCATCTTTAATCTGATCTGAAGGTGCAATAGGTGTCAGTATTATCGCCATGTTTGGCCAAAGAAAAAGTCATAACGGTATTTTTATGAAAGTGGTAATTGGGCTTTTGGTGATTCAATTTGGGGGTAACAATATTAAAAAAGTAGGGAACAACTGCCCTAATTGGTAATACAAATATAAAACATATAGTTTGTCAATAATAATAAGTCATAAATTAGCCGGTAAACTTGAGTAAATTGTGAACATACAATATATTTAAGAAAACCAGCACACACTCGCAGTCCCATATTATCACTGAACTAAAACTTAATAAATTCTGAATCTTGCACATTGGATAGAAACACACAGTCACACATAAAAGCTTGAAACACATAAACTTTCTGTGGTAAAATCTTACATTTATGCACATAGAAAAAACACATAAAATGTTGAAGCATATAAATACATACATATAAAAACACATACAATTCTTTTATGAAACATTGCACACAAACAAGCCACATGAAATGGTAAAGCACACACACATAGGGTGAAACATAAACACAAATTCTTGAAACTGATATAAATTCTTCTTATGAAACATGGCACACAAATAAGCCACATGAAATGGTAAGGCACACACACACATAAAATCATGCACACACATTGAACTAGAAACGATGCAAAACTGCACTTGCATAATAGTAACAATAATATAATTAGTAATTAAGAATACATTTTAATATAATATTCCAAATATAGAATATCGGGCGCTCCAGAAGTGTGTGTACCAATATGGAGGTAACTAATTTTGTTCGCCTACTTTACATCAAGTTGTGTAAAGAGAATGAAACCTATGGGCAGGGGTATATTCACTTGACTAACATAGACAGTCTCTGAACTAGTAATAGAACTTAAATAAGGGAAATCGGAATAAAATTATGGCCTAATCCTAACCTGGTACACATACTGTGGGAGTATTGAATGGGTAATATTTAACAAATAACACACAGCAATCAACGAGTGTGAATTTGGAAAATGCCAGAAAGTTAAAAATGTTCTGATTGAGTAAAGGTTTTCTAATTTTGAAGAATTCTTTTTACCTCGTGAGCGCTTTTATGAATTATGTAATAAATCGTATATTTTTAAGTTTGGAAAATGGGTACGGACTCGAGATATATTGGAGGAACTTAACTAAATCAGTACCCAGCATTTATCCATTTGTTTTTTAGGTAATAGACAAGACTGTAATAAAATAAATTAAAAGTTTAATATTAAGTAACAGACAAAATAAAGTGAGAACAGAAAATTGGAACTATATCTATTAAAAATGATATTCCTTGTGCAAGGGTGTATTTTAAAAAAGAGCTCAATATTCTAGAATTCTGTTTTGTCATTAATTCGAGGTAATTGTTTTAGAATTGAACCTAAAATTTCACTGCAGATAATAAAATTATGTAAAAAAATCTTCGAATATATATAATTTCAATTTTGTCCCTGTTATTTTTAAAAAAGCATCAAAGAACTTTCATGAAAAAACACAAAAAGATGGTTAGAAGCACAAAAATTAAGAATAAAACGTAACAAGAATTGAACAAATCAAGAAAATGGAAGTTTCGAGATCGAATAAAACCAAGACTGGAAAAAATTTAGTAAAAAAACGAATGCGTTTCATTCGGGCAAAGCCAAATTGCTTACTGTAGCAAAAACATTTCGCAAAATATATCCAACATTGCACCGCACCTCTGTTACATCTCAAAACAGAGTTATAAGACAAATTTCTGAGTTAAACGTCTCTTTTCTTTTACTTTAATTAAACATGAACAATATTATCTATTTTATAAATGGTCACCCATCAATATGATGTTCCTTCTTAATACAGCCCAACTACAAAAGCATTTGCATTACAAAAAATGTAATAGGTCGTTACATATCAGTAAATGCTGTTACAGAGCCTTGTTCAGAGTGCAACACATATCTTCTTATTTTTCTTTATATAAACGGCTACCCCACAGACGTTCTTCCTAATATGGCCTGAACTATTTCTCATCTAAGATACCTTTTCAGACAGCTCAGTGGCGTGGGTGGCGCATTGTGCTTCCTCCACCATCAAGTCCTTGCATCTGAAACAAATGACTGGCTAACTAATCCCATACCCGACATGGACTGGTAACCGAACGAGAGGCCGTGGTTCGCCATATGGTGAAGCCGATTTATCGACTTTCTTCTGCCGCAGGATAAATATGTAAATCCTATCTTATACATGTTTCTGTAATACTGTCTACTTGGTATCTAAGATATTCAATATATCTCTATTTACAGTGTTCGCAATATTATATCCCCAAACAAAGTCTATATGATTAAAATCAGGAAAGATTTTTGTCCATTTTACATTCGGAAGATCTTTTACGACAGCTCGTCCATCAGGTGGAGCCACAAGCCAATCTAAATCTCCGAGAAAGACATATGTAGGAACAGTGAACTTCGACAAATCATACGCTGGAGGCTTAAACTGCAAAAAAGAAATTTTCTAAGTTTGAATCAAAGCTTCCCTCATCCTGAAACTGGGCACAAAATTTTACCCTTTTCAACCTAGTAAAAAGTATGAGCCACAATTTTACTGTGGAAGAAAGACTGCACCAATTAATTGCATAGTTTGGCGAATAGGGTAATTAAACTCATGTTGATTGCTGGGTTCATGTCGCCGTAGGTAATTATCGGCTGGATACTGCTGCGATCGTGTGCTTCCAGCAATTGTAATGCCCATGTGGTGCATGTTTCAAGCAAACATCCCTGAGCAGAGTAAGCACCATATATATTTCCTATCTGGCATACTTAGAATGTAATGGTTATACTCTTATTACTTATCGATCTCGATCGGTAAGTATGTTGATAGGTATTTGTCTGTTTCACTTTCGTATGTTGCGCGATATCTCACGAAAGCGATGTTGAATCTGCTCCAAATTTTGCATGTGCATTCATCATATCTCAGACCAGAAGCCTATTGATTTTGGATGAAATTATGTCGTATAATTAGCGAGTTATTAATTAATTAGTGATGTGACACGCAGTGCCGCTATTGAGTCAGGGCGGAGAGAACATGCGGAAGATCAATAAGTCGGCGGTCTCTGATTGCTATCTAGTGTTTCATCTTAGGGGCTGCTTGATCATAGCCTTGTTCAGACAGAATAGCATATTAATACATATGAAATTCAAAATAATAAATCATTCAGTTTAGACATCCCTGTGCTATATACATTATCGCTTCAGTCAGATAATTGAAGCCATTCTCACCTTTTTATAATGTTGATAGTTTTTCCATCTGCTTCCATAATCATAATAAATAAGTTGATTTCCACCCTCGCATTGTTGCGACCAGTGAACCATGTTCTGAGTTGAGGTCCCAGCCGGAGCATGGGAGAGATACATGGGTGTACGAGACTGTAAAAAAAAAAATATGAACGACAATCAATATACCAAGACTGGCAAGAGAGCAATGCTCATTTACATGACGAATGTCAAGAATTGTAACCGATGTCAGGTGATGGTTTGCCGATCATTTGGTGTGAAAAATAAGGCCACTTAAGACTGAAAAAATTATGTGCAACACATCATAAATAGGCGAGCAATGCTTAAATATATTGACATGAAGATCAACTAATACCTCACCCTCAGCAAATCCTTTTGCAAATTAAAAAAAACAGAGCAATAGCCTTAAAGACATTTCTTTCATCTTTAAATCTGAAATCAATTGCTCTATCGGTTGCAGGAAAAAGCGACAATCACCAAAAAAAAGAAAATTTCTACAAAATGATTTATAGGTCGACTTTGGGTCCAAAATGAGACGAATTCCATCAATAACAATATGAATGCACATATCCAACATACCGTATTATAATGGCTTAGTCCGGTTCCCACCATTGCATGCAGTATTATAGAGCATGTATGTGGAATATCATAACAATATTTCTCCGCAAAATCTGCAACGTAGCCATTATGTGCAAACACATCTCCTTCACCAAAACAATTCCAGACTTTCTGAAAAATTAGAAAAATTTGTTGAGAGTCTGTAGGCTGATGTGCTGCAATAGTGACAGCAGGTCAAAAATAGGAAGAGTCCTACATCCTACACCGATTGAATGACCTCCTCCATAAGGTACTATTGATCTGACATAGGTTAGAAATGGATTATGACAATAATTGCCACTTGAACGACACCCTCCATGGAGGTATTGGGCCGCCAACCTACAGCGGGTTACGAGTAAGGATGGATATATGGTTGCAATCGCCTTTTGAATGGCCTTCTAGTAGAGAGCACAACAACACTAGGAGCAGTAGTTCCCAAACTGGTAGTTGCGAAATATCAATCCTTACCTGGAATAAACTACTTTTTATTTGCCCTTGTTTAGAAGTTGATATAAAAAATTTGTTAAAATTAAAAAAAAAACATCTCCTCACTTGTATTATCTTTGCAAACTTTGCCAAAGCTTTCAATAAACCTTTAGAATGAGAGACATAAGCAGCCGGAGCCAAAGCAATGAATTTGTTTACTCTGTCTGACATTGGTCGACCTTGAGATACAACTGATGTGATGAGATTTGTGCAGCCTGGTTAAGTGAATCGAATAAAGCTTTTAAACGTTGCAATTTTTACTAAAGGGGAATCACGAAAGGGGGAGGAGAAATCAGGGCCAATGGAGAGAAAAATAGAATAGATTTGCGCAGCCTGGATGAGTAAGTAGAAAAATATTTGATAGATTAGAAATCACATTTGTAGAATTAAATAAACCTATAAAAAAGGTGCAATTTTTACATACAAATCACCTGAAAGGGGGAAACCAGCGGGTATTATTCAAACCTTTCAGTCAAGGCTTCCATCAATAGCATATCAAGATCAAAGCATGTCCCTTGCTTTGAGAAAACTTTATAAATAAAAAATTTCATTTGGTTTATTTTCATGGTATAGAGCAGCGTTTCTCAAACTTTATTTTTCCAAGGAACAACTCAGCTCTTCATTTAGCCTCACAGTACACCAAGAAATTCAAATGGTTAAATTTGTGGGTGGTTTTAAAAATTTAGCTTATGGTAAAATCAAAAAGTTTTCAATAAAAAAATGAGGCAGCCGGATAACGAAATTGAACGGTTAACGAAAAGACCGCCTGTTTTGAAAGCAAGGCCTGTTAGCCGATATGTCACCAGTTGGGAGACAAATTCACGACCTAGAGTCCGCTGTAGGTCCAAATTAGTCGCAATTTTGATCCCTGTTCCGGTGATCGCTACATGGAGCTCGCTTGGGATGAGTTTGAGAAACGCTGGTATAGACATTGGAAATCGAAACAATCGCAAAACATCCATTATTGGTCTCTCACCAGTTGCCCATGTATTACTATCAACAAGCCCAGCCTAGAAGAAGCAACATTCCATATTGCACATACCTTCAGAATGACCGATGAAGTCCAATTTCTTATGCCCAGTTTGGGATAAAACAAAATCCACCATAACAGGAACATCATACTGCCCCATCTCATCAAAACTGTCAAACGAAATAGATTAAAGTTAATTTACGAAGTGTTTACCTTTAATATCACTCATAGAGTGTTCACTTAAACCCCCCTTGAAGTGAAAATTTGGGATACTGAATGAACTTGTATACAAACAATTAAACACGATATATTGTGTGGAAATTACCTGGCCTTAATTGCGAATTTGTGCTCTATTGAAGTCGATCCATTTAAAATAAATTCAATATCCCATATACGAAAATGGTATTTCAGAATGTCGTCAGAAAAGTGAATCTCCATCTCTGATTCAAATACCACAATAAACGAAATCAAATCTCTTGGCATTTCATGAGTTTCCTTTATTTCTGAGAGACCACATACAACCACACTTCAAGCAAATTCTTTTTTTTCCGAAGTTATCTACCCATCCATGTTTGAAACAGATGTCAAACATAAAACAAAATTTAGAGATATTCAAGTAGCTATCAGACCAGGGGCGGACACTTTCCATAATTTTGGGGGGGCGAACTTGGATCGCCTACCGAAAAACACCGCGCCGTGTATCGTCACGTAACAATAACCTGTCGATGTCATTCTTTAAGTATTAGCATGTCATTTTGCTACTCATATATCGATTACCTAGGCTGCTTTGCTCGGACACGGAACTTGCGCGTCACTGAACCAATTTCTCGAATTCCGCGAGAATTAGCCCAGGGCTCTTGCTAACATACAGAAAATAACAAATTTGAGGAGTCGTATTAGGTTATTGTTTCAATTCCTAGTTCTGCATAAAGCGCACTAACGCCGTTTCGTAAAATTAGAAATGCAAAACAAAGTAACAAGCTATTGTGCGAATTTTTTTCCTAAATTTTACCAAGGAATTATCATTTGACTAGTAGAATTGCCATTATTGCCGATTTATTAAATCATCATTTGAACTCGAAATAACATTCAGGATTCACGCAATGATATTGCAGGGTTTTTATTTATAATTTAATACGAAAATAAACAGGCACAAGTTCAGGCGCGCAGCCAGGATTAAAAAAAAGGCGGGGCCAAAGTCGGAACTTCCCACTGCCGTCTGCAACAAGCACCGCGATTACGCGCTCAATAAAAGAGCCGCCTATTTAAGCGTATAATGATTTTTCTGTCGATCCATGACAGCCACGAGATTCTAAAATGTCCTTATATATTAAATTGTGTGCAACGTAACTCGCGGTTGCGACTTCTTACGTCAAAATAAAAATATTACTAAACTAAAGTACCACGGCGATATGTGGACATAAAAATATGAGATAAGCTGCCTGATGTATTTAATTTTGATACGTATTTTTGCAATCTTCCGAACTCGTTATCGTCGTTACAAAAATCTCGATATCTGATATAAAATCCCATATAGTACAATTTTAATTCATACAATGAAAATAATTATAAAGTATACCAGTAAACCAAAAATACAAATTCACCGCCTCGAAATCCACACGGAACAGTCGCCGCGATTACGCCACTTGTTAAAAGAGCCGACTTCATCAACGAAAAATGATTTTTCACTTGTGCAAAGTAATCAATCAAAGACCGATACGGGCATATTCAAAATTTATTGATTTATTAATTTAATTGTCTTCAATTTAAACTGCGTTTGAGTCGACAAAACAAGGGCCACTCTAAAACACGACGGCAATCCGCGGACATAAAAATGTGTGGTAAACTGCCCGTTTATATATTGTTTTGATCCGTATTTTTGCTATTTTGCGCATTCGATGAATTTGAGATGTACTTGTCACACTGGCTCCGCTCAATCGCAATGTTGTCACTCCGAATATTTTTAAAGATAAAACCTTTCGAAAAATCCGTAAATTTTCTGTCAATTCTCACGTAGTAAAAGTTATTTCAGTACAATAAAAATACATAAATAAATACAAAAAGTGATCGAATATACTTCAATTATCTTATATATCATCACAAACCGTGGAAAAGTCGCGTTCTCAGCTTTGTTTAATGTTAACACGAAAATTTGACGTCAATTTAAAAGTAATGGATAAAAAGGCAAATCCCGCTCACAATTGACCGTGTTTCGATTTTAGTGACGAAATATTTTTAAAGGTCAAGCAAACATAATTTCTGCCGTTGGCACACGAAATTTTGCGATTTTCGATGCCTAGAAAAGCGTTTTTAGACTGTCGCGGGCCTCAAAACTTATATTGTTTACAGTTTTATTTTTAGTATTTTATATTGCCGCTTTTCAACTTTTCGACATAGTAAATGCCCGCAAATTATGCTGGGCCTTGCACAAAATCCATAACGTAAAAAGCTACGTCCCGCGGTGAAAATTGTTTATAACAACTTTAGATCTAGTTAATTTTTTAGCGATAATAATTAATTGTTGTAATGAAACACAGTTTGCCTCTCCCACTTCTTTCGCAAGTGCCAACAATAACACTATTGAAAGATTTTGACAATGAGAAAATCATATTAAATTGTACAAAAATGAATTAGTTGTGCAAAACCGTGGCGCGTGATCGGCGGTGCGTTTGAAGACGGAGTATTACCCGTGCGGGCGCGCATGTTTCACGAAAATGTGAGGTGCCCCGAAGGCGCATTATTGTAAGAAAACAGTTATAATATCGGTAACTAATAACCGTTTAATTGCGCTTGACTATCGCACTTTTCGGAAATGATAATTTTGTAAGGCGGAAACAACATGTATTAAATTTTTTTGCGAAATTATTGGGGGGGCGACCGCCCCCCCTCGCCCCCCCGGGTGTCCGCCCCTGTATCAGACCTCCATTTCCAAAACTCTTTATCATTTGGATGCAAATGTTGATGCCTTGTTGTATATCTGTTGCCTCTGATATTTCCCAACCAAACCTGGAATAAATAAAGTTAGGTGTTATGGCCCAGTACAGTGGTCAGCAAGTTTTTTTTAAGTGAGGCCCAAATAGTGAAATGGAAAGGTTACAAAGTCTAACAATTTTGTTGAAAATTTTGAGGGTTTTGAGAGTCTAAAAAGTGTTTAAGATGTGAAAAATTGTATGATACAGAAAAATGAATTTTTCCCACATTGAGGAGGGGGGTTTCCTACACTCAAACCCCTCCTGGCTATGCCCCTTTGTATAGATATAGGGCAGTCACAAACATGGCTTCATTATATGGTAAAACATGACCATACCAGCTACCAGGTAACAATCCAGGATGGCTACGAGAATATTTAGATAAAATTTTAAACGCAAGTATTATATTTGCATATATAAGGAATAAGGATACCTATACACAACCAAAATGACTTAGGCTTGCAGCATAGCACGATGATATTATTTCAATTTTAACAAAATAGACGACAATTTGAAATTTGAATGTATTATTTCGAATAACTTGTTGTAAGGGAGTATATGAGACTAACCTATATTCTATCATTTCTTTATTTGCGCACTTAATATGTATTTCCAAACTTTGCCAAAGAACTCAATAGACAAACAGACTTCCTTATTGTGCAATTTTCTAATTGTTTAATTAAAAATACATCTTACATCATATCCCATGTCAGCGAGAATGAACGCAAGACTTTCATTTCGTAAATTGTTGATGTAACAATCACATGAACTCAACAGACCATGAAGTAAAAATACTGGCAGCTTGTCTGGGTCTGCAATGATAAGCAATATTCCATAATTCCAACAGAATTTTTTTTTTCATTGTTAATGCAATTTTGCCAAAAAATAAGAGTCCAGGCTATTTGGAAGGACGTAACCTTCGTGCAAATTGTTCTATTACTGAAACTTCTGTGTACAATCACACACAAACAGAAGTTTGAGTGTTAAATGACTTCTTCAATTTTGTAGAAGTAATGAAGAATTTCATGAGTTCTGTTTTTGGGTATAGTGTGGTTTTCCAATGACTTCTAGTGGACTGGGCATGACCATGTTTTCATATGTTATTCGGATATTCCTAACCCCCACCTGACTACGTCATCCAAAAATTACATCACCACAACGTCACAATCACGTCATATAGCTTGCAAAAGTATAGCTACAATTGGCCGAAATGACATCTGCGCCAATGATAAGAAACTCACTAACGCCAGCAATCTCTCTCATATCGAGATCTTTATGAGAAAACGAGAGAAATAGCTTGCTCGATTTTGGATGATCAACTGCGCGTTACAGATACCAACTGTATATTTTAGCGGGCTTTTTTAGTTACTGTGACGTAGTCAGGTGACATATGCAAAAATTGTTGAGCCACGCCAACTAGAAGTATGTGTGGTACTAAACTACACCACACGCCTGTATTTTGAGTCAGATATTAGATGCGTGTACAGAGAATTGTTTATAGCAAAGTTCTTGAATAATGTTGTATATAAAAGTCTCATACCCTTACAACTTGATTCCGTATTTCCTAGAGACTTACGTGGTTTGATTCTTGGCGATCTGACCCTGATTACAAGAAGTATAAATCCGTCTGCAGTTGTTACGTAATGCTCATCTGCTTCTAGTCCTTTATTTCGAATCAGTTCTGTCTGTTGGAGAATACAGAAATATTATTAACTGGGAAATAAGGAAAAGTTCTTAAGACTGAACAAAATGAGTCAAATATATTATAAGAGATTCAAGAGTCTTGCTGCACGCTAACACAAATATGTTTCTGTAATGTCTCGTCTGACCAAACTGGTAAGCCGAGGTGAAAAAGAGTCGCGAGAAACCAAGACTGGTTATCGAGCAGTGACACCCGTGAAAAAAACCAACAGTAATTGATAATAACATAAAAAAATAGAAAAACTAGCAAAAGAACATAGGAAGAAATTACAATCGGGGCGACCTGATTTTCCAGGAGGCGCCCGATACACAGAAACAAATAACGACTCCTAGCACCGATGTTCAAGTTACCATGGAAACAGCAGTAAGAGTGCAAGGCAACGACAAAGTATTACTCATTGCCGTTACTGCGTTGCTCATATAGGGATCGTGACGCCGGTGGTTGGTGGATGGAAATTTTCATATATATATATTTTCATATACAGAAACATATTTGTGTTAGTGTACAGCAAGACTCTTGAATCACTTAACGTAGCAACCTTTACTCTTGCTACAGCATCCTTGCATTATATGCATACAGATCCACCGGCACAAAAACATAGAAGAAGGATAAGTAGACTAGTTAGTCTTGCAGAAACCAAATATATTACATACATGAAATTGTGCTGTTCATTCTGTGAACAAGTCCTACTGACTGATTTAACTATGCCGTTGTATAAGTATATTAGAATACACAAGGCAAACTCACAGGAGAGGAAATTTAAAAAAATTTCTAAAATATCAAATGAGGTTTAAAACTGACTGAAAAGTAACACATGCTGACATGGGCATTTTCTCATCCTGTGAATTAGAATATAGGTGAAAAACATGACTATGTACTTTCTAATCAAAAGCTTGTGATACTGTGATAATACATGATTATGAATGAAAAAAACATGATTAAAGGCCCTCTAATTAAACTTTAAATTAAAGCTGGAAGGCATAGCTGCATTGCGAAAGCCAGCAAATTTTATTTCAAAAAAACTATTCCCCTATCTGGTGAGTTTCCCATTTCCTGAGTTTATTTTCTTAGATTTCAGTATTTATGAAGAAATAAAACTTACTGCATTTCTCTTTGCATCTGGGTCAGGAGGTAATTTCCCAATATGTTGATAATTTTGTCCAAATTGTGACAATATTTCTTCAAAAAGATGAGAAACGTTTCCCCATGTTTCGAATATTTCTTGTTTGTGAAGTTTTGAAGCGTTAAATTTCTTTAGAAACGTCGTAAATTCATTTTGTAGTTCCAAAAAAGCTTCTTTTTGTCCAGAAAATTGTCCTTTTTCAACAGTGAAACCATAAAGAGTAACAAAGAATGCGGTCAAAATTACGATAATCTTGCCGCAACTCATCGTTAATACTTTAATCTACATAAAGCAGAAAGAAATGCCATATAAGCAATATCAACTTATCTATTATAAAGTCACATCGCTCGCTAAAGTAAGCAAGCAGCAACTCTCGAGTTTACTCGCGGTCGTCACCTAAACTGACCAGCTGATCGACGATTGACCTTAAGTTACCTCATTCAGTCTTTGTTGCGCAACAGACCGTGAGCAGGAATGCCTAATCAGCGATTCCACCGATAATAACCCCGTTCCCGCGCATAATCATATATGGCGCTAATCAAACTTCTTTGTTATGTAACAAAATTTTTGACGGAACTAACGTCTATTCCCTGTGTGATGTCACTATTTTGACAAAGTATCCTGAAAAACATTATATGACATCATAATACTACCATCATTAAACTTTTTCCGTTTGCGCGCATTACAGATCGAGATGTGTGACTGAATAGAATAGGTTTTCAAATTTTTACCGGGGAGGAGTGAGAAGACGATGACTCAGAGATGAGTCTCCATTACATCTAAGTGATTGCGCGTTACCTTGCTTTCAGCAAATAGTGTTAAAAATACGGTTTATTCACACGGTGGTTCGTGTCCGCTCTGATTACCAGGTCAGTAACGTAGTTCAGTAGTTGTAAAATGGCTAATTAAAATTAGAATTTGAAATAGTTCTTATGGAAGAATTATTATTTCAATATCACTTTGGCTCGGCGGTGTGGCGCTTTGTGCTAAGCGTTAGGAATACGTATGCATAGAACTATATTTTAATAATGTGAACGATTGCAGCTACCGTATTTCCCTGAAAAGAAGGCCTAGCCCAAAAATACGACCTAGCTAGCCTGACATTTGAAATGATTTTAATATAAGCCCTCCTCTGAAATAAGACCTAGTAAAGAGATGGTGACACAGCCATGTTAGTAACGACAACTTAGTATTCCGCATGCGACTAGTTGACCAGGTAATTGTTTCGCATGCATGGAATTCTCTTTTATATAATATTGACAATTGCAGCTTTCTTATTCCCGACCATTGCTTCTTCCAGTTCTCCACCCTTAGAAAACACAGAAGCTGAAGGGATATAAAATTAATGAAAACATCTTGGATAAACTTGACAAGATATGAATTGATATAATCTTACTCTGATATTTTGCGTCAGCGATACGAATTGAATGATGTACAATGTACATAATACGCTAGTCAAGGAATCTAGTTACGTAACTGTCCTGTAACAGCTGGTAAGATAATCCAAAGTTATTCGAGAATCATCCTTATTTTTACTGCGCCGTAGCAAATATGCGATAGAAATTCCACATCCAGCACTTATTATGATTCAAAACAAATCGTTTTTCCGCCCTGTTAGTATGACAAGGGCTACATCTATTTGTTGATTTCCTTCACACCGATTCGTTTCTTGATCTGTAGCTTCAAATTCCTCAAGGCCACTTTCTACTGTCATATTAGACACAAACTTAAAACTGCGAATACCTCTATGCGAGTCAGTAGTCGCTTACTACTCTTCCATCCTCTCTGACTTTAGGTGAAGGCTCGCGACCTTATTTTGAACAACTTAGTATGACGATATATCGTAGTCGAGGGAGATCACAAAACTTGCTAGACTTGTGTCACAGGTTCCTTTTTTAGACTTGTGCTACAATCTATATTTTGACTTGTGCTACAGGCTCCATTCTACTCAGCTATATAAAGTACTCAAACTTGAAGAATTTCTGCATCGATCTATATTTAGCCTGGTAGTCTGTCGGACCATATTCGCGCGCTTTTTGTTCACCGTGTCCTTACGAACAATTGGGGGTATTTAGTGGGCGTGGTTCTTTAAATGACCAGTCATTATCCTAAAGAATCGTATCTCATGACAATTTCCTTTTCCACCCTTTGTGCGACTGCTGTAGAGATATCATATTGCAATGGTCACATTCTATAAAAAGATCTCTGGCTATTATTAGATTTACAAATCGAGTACCCTTTTAAAAACTGGAATTTCTTTGTCCAGTTGGTCAGTAACTGAAGAGTCTTTTGTTTGAACAAGTTGCAACTCGAGTCGTCGAGTGCTGACTCACTGACCGATAGTGACCCGTGCGCAGTTAGGAAACACACAAGAGCTCAAATCAAACAGCTTATTCAAAATTACAAGCTTCTAAATCAGAGGTGTGCAGCAGGCGCCCCGTGGGCCACATCCGGCATGCCAAGCCACTGGTTGTGACCCTTGTTAATACTTCTCTTGCCTAGTGATAGCTGACTGTGAATGGTCGTATCGTATCCCCCAGTCATCTATAGAAAACTTAATTTTCTTATTTTGCTATCATATATATATATACTGTATATTATGTGTTTTCTGGTTTGACGAAAAAAATAAATTCTCTCTCTATCCCGCTAATTTTTTTGTGTGGCCCATATAGATGTCTGAAGTTGGTTATATGGCCCACCGACAAAGAATGTTGCACCTGCGTGTTCTAAATGCTTTTAGCTTGATCGCTGTATAATAGTCAGTACAATTTAATGACTCTCGTTCGTTGTAGTCTGCTTTATCCTACTATTGTTCCATCACTAATTTTCTGTCCTGTTACTGATTCTGTTTATTATCGGTTAAGATAAGTTGAAGGAAGTCCTAACATATCCTTGTAAGATAAATGAAACCAAAGTAACATTTCAAAAATGCGTTGTGAGCCAGTAATACACTAGTACGTAAGAGAATAAATATTTTTAGTTTGTATACACGTTTTAAACTTTCACTTATTACAAAACTGAATCTACAAGGAGAATGATCAAATACACCTGACGTAAAATTAAATCTAAAAGCATAGATCTTCAATAAAAACCCATAACTGCAAGCAGTTGCGTGTCAAACTTTTCTGCTTCCTGGGTCGTGTTTCTGATAATGATGCTTCTTATACCCAACTTCAAAAATTATTTTGGGGATAAACAACTTATAGATGTTGTTATATGAGAAACAAATTGAAGGTCAAGTAAGAGTGAAATGTTTGTATTACTATCATTATTTAAATTATTAAACCTAGCCACAAACTCCCCCTATAACGTTCTACCCGGGGCGGCTGCCCATTTGGCCCCTCTAGACAAGCCACTGACTGCTGTAAAATACCGAAAGCACAAATTGCAGATGTAAACCCCCCGTTTGACAGCCTTGCTGGAAACCAATTCAACACTGAAAAACATTCTAACACACATTCATGGATGTATCTACATAAAATTGCACTCATGGCAAAGTTTAAAATTGCGCTCACTTGGCCCCTTGACAGACAATTTTTAAGAACTGTTTTTGAAATAGATACTTGTACGTTATTATATGAATAAAAAAACGAGTTTCAATTATTTGCAATTTAAAATTATTTCATTGAAACATTCTACGATGAAGATCTTTCACCCTTTTTGCGCCCTGTCCGAACAGTGCTTGTTTCAATGTAAAATTATTTTTCCGATTAAGACCTTTTTGTCTATTTTTGCGCCCCAATCCAAACGGCGCCCACGGCACTAGCTTTGACTCCGACACCCTAGATGCGCCACTGCACACAGTTTGTGGTATATACTCTCTCTAGTCTCGAGCAATAAATACATACTTTGAACATCATGTAACTATGATGCAACAATAGCGTTCTCGTTAGTTGCATAACAATGACTAAAGTGACGCAACAATCGAAAATATTTCTGTTTTGTCTATTAACTGCACTGTGACTAAACCTCCTGTTTAACGAACTAGCCGACTTGGAGTTTGAATAAGACACGGTGGTCTAAGAATATTTATAATAAAGCATCAACATGCTGAAGCAAGGAATGATTTCCCCTGAAAAAAAAAAAAAAAACGCGGAACCCCTGAGAAACCCTATATAAACTCACGGAACCCCACTGCATGTATTGTGGAACCCTAGGATTCCGCGGAACCCCTGTTGAGCACTGGTCTACATGCAATTGCTTTCTCGCGTCAATCAACAATATCCTTCAACTATCACATGCAATAATAAATTTGCACAGTGACTCTATTTGGTTCATTTGTTAGCTTACCTATAGTCATACCGGAAACACGTGATGTCAAAGAGATCTCTTTTGAGCTGGTAACATAGATTCACAGAATAACAAATGTGTCAGTAAAAACGGTGAGTAACCCGATTAAAAGTATCAACTTTTAAAGCCTCTTTAAGCAAGAATCTTACTCGATCTCGTTTTGACCGTGACTCACCAATGGGACTGAACAATACAATTCTGTTTACTAGAATCTGACATAATAAGTCGAATAGAATTTTGCGCCAATGGAAAACAAAAAGGCGATATTCAAACTCAACCAAAGTAATCACGCTAGAAACTAAATGTAAGCTTAATTAATACAACCTGCTCTATTTGTGTTGCAGATCACAACACGGGTCGCGTAACACGTTGTTGTGTGATACAATTTCTTTGTTCTGAATCCTACCGAGCGAGATATCTTGCGTTGTTTACTTTTCCCTGCAATAACTACAGCGTCGATGTTTGTTTGTCCATGCCACGCAGTAAATAATTTCGATTAAATTTAACCACCATGTTGCAACTGCAATACTTTGCAAACTTGTATCTGTTTGCTGTTATAACTCATCAAGTATTTGAAGCAGTGTTTCTCAAAGGTGGGGCGCGCCCCACAAGGTGAACGTAGACAGTTTTTGGGGGCGTGGAGGGAATCAAATAAAAAATACGTGTTCGATTTGATCTTACCCGCCCTATTTTGCATATTTACGTCCCATCTACGTATTTTCAACGTGTTTTTTAAATAAAATATACTCTCGCCTTTCTATATCTGTTATTTGTAGCTAGTTATTTTTGAGGTGGGGCGCGCGACTTGACAAATTCTAAAAGAAGTTCGCGGATTGAAAAAGTTTGAGAACCGCTGATTTAGAGCGTTTGATCTATTCATATTGACCACGCCAGTTTTAAAGATATCTGATTTAAACTCCATGCCCCTGATCTAATCCGGGGTGTAATAAATTTGGCGAAAAAAATGCCGTTTTTCCCGAAAAATACTATCTCCATGTTTGTTAATGACTTGATGTTACAGAGTGTCGTTGGGAATTGAGGTGTAAAGCGCCCAATAAAACAGTAAATGTACAGTTCAGGAAAATTTTTAACGTATTATCCCGATTGTCGTGAATAAATCCATTAAAACGGCTGAATGACTTATTCTGCTTATACATTTTATTTCTTCATATAGTTTTGTTCGTATTTCATTGCTGATGCTATATATACCTGTTGATTTCTTGGCTTCTACATAGCATGGGACAGGAGCCTTGATGACCTAACTGGTCTTGCATAATGAAACTAAGTGCGTGGAGTTTGAACCAAAGATGTTTGAAACTGATGTGGCCAACACGATTAAATCCAACGTACCAAATCAGTAGTCCTCAAACTTTTAAAGCCGCGGCCCATTTTCAGAAATTGTCGCGAGCCCCACCTCAAAAATAACACTCACGAATATTGATCAATAATATATTTACGACCAGCAATTACGTGAACCATCCTATGGCGGCGAGGAGTCCAGCAATCCTCTCACACATAAGATTCGAATCCGCGCAGAGTAATCAAGAGGTGCGTGCGGTGGCGAGCGTATTCCTAACGCTTAGCACGATGAGCCACACCGCCGCGCCAATGTGACTTACCGACGTAACCGTATTCACATCAGGGTCATCAAAGCTTTCGCGAATCTTTCCTAGAGTTTGTTGTACCTTTCCTAGATTGGAGTCCAAAGTGATTTAATGTAAAAGGTGAACCCCACCCCCTCAATTTTAAGGTGTGGCAGTACTATTTAATTGCTAACTTGAATACAATTGTATTTGAATATCCAGAAAGTGCTCTATATGCCAGTGTAGATGGTCAGCCAAGTATGTAACGTATTTTTAAAAGTTACAAATTGCTTTATCGCAAATAGCTGAATATCTACCACTCCCCAGGGGCGTAGCCAGAAATTTTCAAAGGGCGAGGGGGGGGTTCTGAATTTTTTTTTTTTGCTAAGTTAGATCGAAACAGCTTGCGGGTGCGATCGAACGCTGGACTACGCGTGTTTTTATTAGTCTTGGAGTCTAAAAAGCATTTCAAGCTACGGAAAATGACTATCAATGGTACAGAAAAATGATTTTATTTTTTTTTAAATTTCGAGGGGGGGGGGGGGGGGGTTCGACCCGCAAAATATGGAGAGCATACGAAACGAAACGTGAGTCATATATTTTGGACCCATGTTTGTATCGACGCAACCACCCTACGCAACCACCCAGGTTCGGTACTCCCGTAGTATGTGTACCAGGTTAGTGTTAGGCCATCATTTTATCCTGATTTTTCTTATTAGTGTGTTAGCAAGGTAAGTATACTCCCTGACCAATTCCTTTAGTTTAGACAACTTGGTGTAAAGTAGGCGAACAAAATTAGTTACCTCCATATATACTTCTGAAGCGTCGTTCTATTGTGAGTGAAGTTCTGCATTTTGGATTCATAGAAAAACCGATTAATTTAGTTGCACATTGGTTTATTTATCATCTTTCTATACAAAACTGTATTTTCTGTATTCCAAGTTAAGAAAAAAGAATGATATTCAAATACTATCATCATGCCAGAAAAACACGCCTAAAATCGGTGTTCCCAAATATAATCATCTTATAGAGTTCCCAAATATAATTTATTCAAAAATGCTTGGCGGAAAACTCCATCTCGACATAACTGATCTTTTCCCTCTATTTCTCCGTCGTGGTGTTGCTGTCAATGGATCTCTTCTTTTTCTTATTTCTTGGTTCACACATTCTTCCTTCATCAGGTCAAAAGTTGAATAATTGTTGCAACAACCCTTTTCTCGCTTCTTGTAAGAGATTCGACCCCGACAGCATCCGTAATCATTAATTCTGTGAAGTGAATTCAAAATATGATCGTTTATTTCTGAATAACAACAACATAATGACAATCCACACTTCGTTTGCAATAAGACTAAGTTATTCTATTTCTACCAAATAGCAAGGGCGCTCCCGTAGTATGTGAACCAAGATGGCGGACATCGGAAAGTGGTATGTGTACCAGGTTAGGGTTAGGCCATAATTTTATTCCAATTTTTCGTATTTTAGTTCTATCAAAAGTTCGGGGATTAGCCAAGTGACTCCTAACCTGGTACACATACTACGTTCCAATGTCAGCCATCTTGTTTCACATACTACGGGAGTACCCTGAAATTATGGGCAGGGGTAATATTGGCTAACACACCCAACCTTGTAATAGAACTTAATTACGGTGAAATTATGGCCTAACCCTAACTTGGTATACACACCACGGGAGTGCCCTCGAATCCACGCAGGGTAATCAGAGGTGCGGTGGCGAACGTATTCCTAACGCTTAGCACGATGTGTCGAGTCAGATACATATAAAATACGAGAATTTCAGATAAAAATATACTTACGATCTGCCAACTCCGCCGCAGCATACTTCCATTATGTTATGGTAAGTCCTCTCCCCACAACATCGAGTACCCCTGTTCAATCTAGGCCTGCCAAAAAAGCATAATAATTCAATTCAGAATCCACTTATTGTCAGACCCGATTTGGTGGCCGGATAGAAGTCGGAATTTGGCATGTCGGATCGCTCGAAGTATGTGCACCAAGATGGCGCACAACCTGAACAAAGTATGTGTACCGGGTTAGGGTTCAGGTCGTGCGCCATTTTGGTGCACATTCTTCGGGAGCTCCGGTCTTCACTAGAGTCAAAAATGGGGTCGTATTTCAAATACCCCTGGGTCGGAGTCGAAATTATTAACAGGGGTTAACCCCACTCCCCTTTTAAAATGTAAAAAAAATATTTTCAGTATCATACATTTTTCGTTGTTTGAAACGCTTTTCAGACCAACCAAAACCCAGACCAGGTGGATGTTACGGTTTAACTTGGCGATTAGAATTTCAGAATCCCTCCTTTGAAAATCCCTGGCTACGACTAGGGCTGGGCATTTCGAATCGAATATTCGAATCGAATCGAATAGTAAATTATTCGAATCAGTTCAGAGCTAAATTTTGAATCGCCGCCATCTTGTTTTCTTCTTTTCGCCAATGGTCGAGGTGAATTCCCCAATTTTTTTTTCATTGAAGTCATATTTTTTCAACGCAATTCTGACGTATGACTTTTTTCTGTAGTGAGTTATTGATAAAACGTGTTTGTTATTCTGTGTGAACGCTCAGTAATCTATCTGAGTGATGTATTCCATGTCTTCAGTAATTCATTTGTTGAGAGGACCAATTACTATAAAAAGTCGCTTATAATTATATATTTCCAAGTATTCGAGATTCGATTCGAAAAAATTATTCGATTCGATTCTGAAATCACAAGGTATTCGAAAATGCCCAGCCCTAGCTACAACCCTGATTATGAATCTGGTGAGCCTCTGATGTCAATGGTAATAACATAAGTCTCAATTTTTACAGAGATTTAAAGGAATTAGGTTGTTTACTAAGCATTATTAGCTTTGAAACCTTCCATACGTCGATCAAAATTCGATTTTCCTAGAGGGCTGTGGTAGGAGTCTAAATATTTAACAGCCCGAAGTATCCGATATCCGTTACATCCATTTCCGTAATATACAGGGTGTCCAAAAAGTTTCGCCGATCACAAAGTCTTTATAATCAAATGTTATTTTATTTTTATTTTAAAAAAGATTTGTAGTCAACCTGTTTCTAATTGGATGTTATAGATGTTAAATGTTGTAGTCCACATTTATCATACAACCAAACTTATTCTAATTTGCAATTGGTAATGCTATGAAATCGAGCGGAACTTTTCGGACACCTTGTGTATATATATATATTAACAAAAGATCTAAACATAGATATATGATTATGAACATGGAAATACACTAACAGTTCACGCGAAATCAATAAACACGAATCAGGCTGAATTTGGGGTTAAAAATCGGGCTTTATGAAACTAGCTTGCTAGCGCCGAAGCGTAAATTGTCCTCAATAAAACTCCTAATAAGATAAAAAAAAAAACGGTATTCCCGAAGTATGTGAACCGAGATGGCGGACACCGGAACGTAGGTACGTGTACCAGGTTAGGGTTAGGCCATAATTTCATTCCAATTTTCCTCATTTTAGTTCTATGACGACACGAATTTGGGGACTAGCCAAGTGACTCTCGTATTATTTGTACCTGAAATTATGGCCTAACCCTAACCTGGTACAGATACTAATTTCCGGTGTTCGCCATCTTAATTCAAATATTTCGGGAAAAACCCAAAAATCTGTAAAAATAATTTATAGGTCCACCTCGCGTATAATATTATATGTTTCACCTTTTTACATTATTGCAACAGAGTTGTTTTTTAATGTTGGCATAATCGTCCCCACACTTGATATAATCGGGATCCGAAGCTTTCCACGATTCTGTTGTTGTTGTTAGGGGTGCTGGTGTCGTCATAATCCCTCTCATCGTCATAGTGGTTGCTAGGATACAACATTTTCAAAATGAAGTCGAATTGTTTACTGATATTTTGTTCACCCTTATATGCCTTAGGATATGTTTTCTGTTTGATCTGCCTTTTGCAGCAGTGATCTAAGGCAGGGGTGCGCAACCTGCGGCCGCGGGCCAAATGTGGCCCTAAGAAAATGTGCGGCCCGCGGAGCAATGCCAATATGGAATAGTGTGCGGCTCGCAAAATGAGTTTTTAATTTAGTTTAATCCATTAAGTGCGACTATTTCCAATCCCTTTGCGTTGCAAAGCCTATACCAGAGTCCAACTTATTATCTATGACGTTACAATTCCTTTCTGGTGCGTGCAACTACTGGAAAGCCTATTTTAAATAAAGGTGCGGCCCGCAAGTTCATCCAGTTATTTGTGACTGGCTCTCCTGTATTGTAAAGGTAGTACACCCCAGATCTAAGAGTTACCCACAGCCTTCATGCAATAACTGTTTTGTTATCTGAATATTACCGGAAGATTGTCCAAAATTGAATTAGGTTGTCGAGAATTAGGTATCTGGCCATCCTGTATTAAAGGTTGTACACCCCTGATTTAGATAATGAAATGAACTCATGACAAAACTTCTAAGCGCTCACCAGTTTTAGAAAGTTTCCTAGCTTCGCATTTTCCTGGAAGCAATAGAATGTCGTCAATTGCAATGTCTGATTTATAGCTGGTTCCTCGGATTCCACGAAATTCGAACTGAAAAAAGAAGGTAATGGATAATTATATAAATACGAAGCTACCCTCATAGGCAGACATGGGCAAAGTGAGGCCCGCGGGCCAAATCCGGCCCGCTAACTAATTCAATCTGGCCCGCCTGATGCTGCCACAACCAAACTGAAACAAAATTTTGATGTTTTAATTGAATATAGCTCAAAGAATTTGTTGAGATTGCGGTTAAACTTAGTTTTGGCACGAGGCTTATTGGTTCCCACTGTTGCTTTTGTAACACTGTAAATATTGTTCATAAGTTGTAACTTTTTACGTGTCACTTACATTGCCCACCAGGGGGCTCCCGAAGTATGCGAACCAAGATGGCGGACATCGGAATATAATATGTGTACTAGGTTAGGGTTAGGCCATAATTTTAGGTATAAATACTACGGGAGGCTCTTGGCTAGTCTTCGAACTGATAATAGGACTAAAATAAGGAAAATTGGAAAAAAATTATCGCCTAACCCTAACCTGTTACCCATGTTACGTTCCGATGTCCGCCATCTTGGTTCGCATACTTCGGGAGCACCCCCACCCTTCTAAGTTTGACCCCTGGTTTAACCTTTCCCACCCTGTTCTATGCGCTCTCTTACCACGACAGGCCTATAGTGTTTCTGTATAGTCGTCGACCGCAAGGTTGTTGTGCTTTCCTTCCATTCATTCCCGTCTTTGCTCAGCTGACCTAGATTAAAATGCAAAGTTACACTGGAAATACAGTAAGTTTTACTTCTTTTTAAGCAGCGACTTACATGAAGAACCTAATGTATCTCTGAGGACTGGGTCAGGCCGACATTACAAATAAATTTTATCACAATGAGTGCGAGGTGACCGCTATGAACTGAGCAACCGAGATTTTTACTTCGTAAAGCCCAGTGTGATAACAACTCAACCATCGCACTAATGAACAACAGTATGATACAGTGAGCATATGTATAAGATGGTTCCATTACATTTGAACCCACGTACATTTGAACCCATGACAATTGCACCTGTATGCTATTGCACCTATGGAATTTTTTTTGTTTACGGATAGTTAAACCCATACTAACCCTAACCCATGGGTTTTAGCACCCGCATATAGATTGAACCCGTGGATATACGCATGGGTTCAAATGTACATGGGTTCAAATGTACGGTCACCGTATAAGATACCTTAATAAAGGGGTGTGCAACCTGCGGGCCAAATGTGACCAACAAGAAAAAAGTTTGCGGCCCGCGGAGAAGTGACAATTCTGAATGATGTGCGACCCGCGAAAAGAGTTTTTATTTTAATCTGGTACGTGGGAGTAACTTTAATTCCTTTGCGTTGCAAAGCTTGTGCAAAGCGAACATCCCATGTCATAAGATCCATAACAAAATTTCGGTACTCCTGAAGTACGCGCACCAAGATGTCGCACAACCTGAACCCTGACCCGGTACACCACCTAAGTTCAGGTTGTGCGACATCTTGGTGCGCATACTTCAGTAGGTCCCAAATTTCTTTGCTTGCAACTACTGGAAAGATTAGGTTAAACAAATGGGTGACCCGCGGTTTCACCCAGTTATTTGTATCTGGCCCTTCTGTACTGAAGGTTGCCCATCCCTGCTTTAATATATTAAGAGTGTCTTAGGAAAACATCCAAAAGCTTCAAATACCTGAATTTTAGATACTGTTATGTACTATGCAATACATAAGAATCGTCTCTATGGCACAAAATTAGTCGCCAGATTAAGTTAAGTATGCTAGTCAGTTTCAAGGCATAACTTTTAGGAGATACTGACAAATCTCTGACTGAAATGACGCGAAAGACTTGTTACTTCAGAATAATACCTGCAAGCTTGTCCACAACTTTTCTTAGTTGCGCCTCCCCGGCTGCGTTCCAATATATCCAAATAGCTCCGCTTCCTGATCCGTACATATTATACCTGAAGAAATTGACATAGGATAGCATTTTCATATTTATTTTATTTTTATTTATCAAAAACAAAATTGCAAAGTAGAGAATTACGAGATTTTCAAATCTATATATATATACAAAATGGTGACCGTACATTTGAACCCACGTACATTTGAACCCATGTGTATATCCACGGGTTCAGTCTATATGCGGGTGCTAAAACCCATGGGTTAGGGTTAGTATGGGTTCAACTATCCGAAAAACAAAAAAAATTCCATAGGTGCAATAGCATACAGGTGCAATTGTCATGGGTTCAAATGTACGTGGGATCAAATGTAATGGAACCATACAAAATATGAAAACTTATATCCATTTGCATATGTGCATATTTCGTTTCATAGTTGTAAATGCTTGTCTTAAGAAGTCTGACCTCGGTCAGACGAAACGTTACAGAAATATTTTTGTGTAAGTGTGCAGCAAGACTCTTGAATAAGATAGAATAGTCATTTTCACTCTTGCTATAGCATCCTTGCGTTATACGCATACGAGTCCACCTGAGCAAAGGCATAGAGCAAGGAAAGGTAGTTAGTTTCACCCCAACTGTTAGTTATGATATCCATTTACTTATAAATGACGTTTTTTAGGAAATAAATTTGCGCTATCGAATTGGGCTTATTTTTAGAGAAGGGCTAATGTTAAAATCATTTTTAAAGTTCAGGCTGGGTCTTTTTTGAGGGGAGACGGTATAGAGCTCTTCTGGCATTCCGTAATGTATCGGTGTAAAGGCTCGGCGGTGTGGCGCATCGTGCTAAGCGTTAGGAATACGCTCGCCACCGCATCTTTGATAATCCTTCGTGGGTTCGAATCCCATGCGGGGATGATCATGTGCAAGAGGATTGCTGGACTCCTCGCCGCCGTAGGGTGGTTCACGTAACCGCTGGTCGGTTACGGCTTCCTCCACCATCAAGTCCATGCTTCCGAAAACAAATAACTGGCTGACTAATCTCATAGCCGACCTGGACTGGTAACCCAGACGAAAGGCCGTGGTTCGCCATATGATTAAGCCGTCTTATCGGCTTTCCTCTCCCCGGGATAAATATGTAAATCCTATCCTATCCTAAATCGGCGTTGAAAGCTCTTTCGAACATAACGTATACTAACCAGTAACGCAGGCAATAATGAGGTTCAGCCATCATCATGACTGGCGGAGTAGTAAACACTGCTGTCTCTCCTGATCTTGAGCCGCTTGCTTCAACGTAAGCATAAGTCCCATCTGTTTGAATATGTAACAAATTAACCAATGATTTTGGAAATAATGACATCAAGACTAAAAATAATTCCTAAGTCATAAATATTGGAGAATATTCAAGAACATTCTAAATATGATATTTCAACATAACGTGCAAAATAGCGAATAATTTCCCATGTGATATGTTGAATGACCTTGTTTTACATGAATAATCAGTGTAAGAACGGTCTCGAATAATCGAGAAAATTGTGTATTTAAATGCGATCTCAAACATTTCAAGCGATCGTCGTCTTTATCGTCCAATATCAATAATTCTGATGATCGCTACACTACTGTTATAAATAATAACTTGAAATTGTAAGTTGGTTTATTTGATTTCGAGGGAAATAAAATCTATACAGGCAATTGTCTAGACTCTAGATCCTTGCTGTTATATCAAATTAACAGACGTCTCGACTTGAACAAGTAACAACCGATTATATTCTGTTTGGAGTCAGATTAATATCTAACTAGTTTAATCAGCCTAATTAGCAACTACAACAGAAGTCGTCTCAAATAAAGAAAAAATCAATTATGCATACAGAGATAAACTTTGCATCTATAGCATTGGTTCTCAAACTTTTTAGGCCGCTTTCCCTACTTATAATTTGTCAAGTCTCGCGCCATACCTCAAAAAAAACCAACTTACAATAAGCTACAAATAACAAACAGAAAGGAGGAATTATGTTTATTCAAAAAAACACGTTGGAAATACGTGTTATGCGCAAGAAATGCACGCATAAAACATATCACATAAAATACATGTACATGCCAAATTAAGTACAAACACAATTAGTGTTAACTTAACTCTAATTAACTCTAGTGAGAATTTCGCTGTTGTTTCGTTTTCAATATAGGATTACAAAAGAAGGCTCAAAGAAGTTTCTGCAACACGCAGCTCTGCAGCGGCGTGCAGCCGATTTCTTTGCTTCGTTTTAATTAAAGCTAATGATGAAAATGTTTTTTTTCGCATAACGCAGTCACTGGTTGAAAATACAGACAACAGTTTGGTTGTTCGATTACTTAGCGATGGGAATTCATTATCAAGAGATATCCAAAATTGTGACAGTGATTCTCTTTTTAAATCTGGACTGTAAAGTAGAATCACAATTTTAATCCAGCTTTTACTTTTTCATAGTGTTCATCATATTAAATACCGCAGTTGATCGACGCCTCAAACGAAATGAATTTACATTACAATGACAAAGTCGTCGGTAACTTGCCACAGGCTCAAAATACTATACAGTGTCTGCTCAAAATACTGAAAAAGTTCATATATTACTGGAATATTATACTGTCCTTGACTGTTTTCTGTTTTCAAACAAAGATATATATCATAACGTTTTATATGGATGAACATATTATTCAGGAAAAGCATGCAGAACAGAAAAATCACGCGTGTCGATTTTTAGGTTTCTGAATCTTCGCATTCGCGATCAATCGGAGGCGAAAAGTGTAATTACTCAAGATGACGCGAAATACGTCGCAATATGACGACGGGGGACAAATTGCGTAACCAAAACAACCTCGTCTTTGGTAAAGCGATGCAGGCGGCATCAAAACAACGAAATTTCTCGCAGACCGGTAAAAAAGCTTCACGGACCGGCGGTTGGGAACCACTGGATAGTTAAACGACCATTGTCTTGTTATATTATCTTATAAACTCCCCTGTATAAACAGTTTTGTATACTCCACCCTTACCACTTTCACCACACCAAACGACCCATTGCCCCACCTTGCACAACTGTCTATATAAGGGACCATACTATATATACTAATTTAATCTAATGTTTTTTGCTTTATATTTGTTAAAAAGGGTGCATGCCGCACATTTATGTTTTAGGCCAGTACGGTCTTGTGCATGCATCCCGTCTTACATAATAATAATTGTTCATTTATTTTTTTATCACTATTACGAGACGAATAAACATACATACATACATACTAAAGGTAGAGAGAGATTATTATTTGAGATTATAACGGAGAGACATCAGACCATCATCATTTATTCGTAAACACAATATAAATGTATCACAACAAATATTACAAATAACGAAAGGAAAGGAACTTAAATTGTGTTACAAAAGTCGTGAGGGAGATCAAAAAGTCGTCTGGTCGCGACAACTACAAAAAAAAATTCGCACATCATTCGTAAATTGAAACGCGTTTTAGACCCTAAAGACCCACGTTTTCCGGTCTCCCAGTCAGGCCCGCTTTCTTTTATGGTCCAACTTGGCAATTAGGAATTTCAGAATCTTTGAACATTTCTGGCTACGCCCTTTACACTTACAACGCTGATTCAGGTTAGTGAGTGCAAAAAGTTACCACAAGATTGTCGGGGTATTTTCTTCAGCTGCATTGTTCAAAGCAGGGGTTCTCAACCTTTTTTTTCTGTCAAGTCACCCCGTGTCACGAAACAATA